CCTCTGTCTCAGCTCCTCCGTCTCTCTCTGTCTCTCCTCCTCCCTCTGTCTCAGCTCCGCTGTCTCTCTCTGTCTCTCCTCCTCCCTCTGTCTCAGCTCCTCTGTCTCTCTCTGTCTCAGCTCCTCCGTCTCCCTCTGTCTCTCCTCCTCCCTCTGTCTCAGCTCCTCTGTCTCTCTATTGTATGTCTCCAGTTCAGTGTACAGTTGTTCACTGTCAGTGGTGAAGTACTGCCCATAGTTTCCTGCCACCATGTCCTCTATCTTCTCTAGCAGCTCTGTGACCTGAGTGCGGTCGCCCCTGTTCTTGTTGTTGAGAACATGATACCTGTTCCCACACTTCTCCAAAAGACACTGGAGCTTCTTCCCTCGTCTCTCAATGTGCTGCTCAATGGTTGTGTGTGTCAGTGTGTCCCCGCAGGTGAACAGCACTATTATGTGTCTCCACACTCTCTCACTGAGAAGATCCAGATGTTCCTTCTCTACTCTCCTCTTTTTCTCTCTCAGTGTGATGAGAGGGATCACCAGGAGGAGAGCGTGGGGTCCTGGGGGACACAGAGACACAATCTTCACAACCTCCTGTCTGATCTGCTGTGGATCATTCCCTATCAGCCACTCATCCCACCCTGGAGTGTCGACCACAGTGATCTGCCTCCCAGCTACTTCACCCTGTCTCTTCTCACACTCCTTAGTTCCCCTCTCAGTGTCAAAATCCTCTCTGCCCAGGATGGTGTTTCCTGCTGAGCTCTTTTCAGACCTTCTCTCCCCCAGCAGCACGATCCTGATCTCTGAGAGACGCTGTGGTGCCTCATGGGAATCAGCCTGTCCCTCCCCTGTCAGAGAGAAAGATCACAGATTATTTACATTATAAAGTTCTCATCACAGATATTTTCACTCTTCATCTCATTTCAAATTTACGATAAAAACTCCTCTATATCTTTTCTATTGTCCCTGCCCTGTGAGAGAGGAAAATCACAGATTATTGAGATTATTTTTCTGTGTATTCTCTGTGGTATACAAAAATCTTCTGTTAATGTTAGTCAAACTGTATTCTTACAACATTCTTATTGTGTATTCTTACAATTTATATAAAATATATATTTTTTTTATTTTTAACTGTTCTCTCAATAGTACATGTTAATTTTTCATCAGGATTTTGTTTCTTAGAATAATTTAACCTCACTGAAAGTTTAGATTTTTCCAATGTCTTCCTTGCTCATCTTTACCAAGGGCGCCAATACTTCTGGAGGGCCCTGTAGAGTCCCACTAACACTCTGAGTGTCCAGTGGC